AAATGATGGAATATTAAATGCTGAATGCCCTGTTGGATCATTTGATCGCGTTAAGAAGAGACTCTCTTCTGAAATTGTTGGCAGTTAAGCAGGGCATGGTGTATAGCAGCTGTAATTTTCAGATAGTTCTAAGTTATTTCTGTAGTGAATTGTTTACGGTTATGTTCTTGACTTTTAACATCATCAGCTTAAACCAGTCATTCTTTTGCAACCCAGATCTTGGAAAACTTGGAAGGATGCTACTAGTAAATTGGCTTAGTATTTCTCAAGAAGTGAAGTGGTTGCAAGTGCATAAAGTAGGTCATTAATTTCTGAGAACTTTAGTTGATATATTCAGGCTGTTTTCATGTATCCAGGAAATTCTCATCCAGAGGGATTGAAAAGCTTGCAAAATTGTTCTGTGTTTTAAAAAATATTCAGAAATAAGTCTGTTGCTCCTGTCTGTTGAAGATTTGGGGTGGGGGGATTGCCCTCTTTCAAGGGCTGAAGAGGAAGATTACTTTCAGAAAGGAGGCTGGAGAATGGGGATGGTGGTTCAACAACAACAATAAAGTCATGGACACAGCATGTGTTTGAAAGTGACTTCTTGATACCTGTTTAAAGGCAGTCTTTCTTATCAACTTTTGTTGCAGCTCTTATCAGTTAGGCTTTTGCCCAGTCTTCTGCATGACTGGTTATTTCTTCTAATATGGAACTTTTTCTCTGGAGACAAGGGAGAGGCTTCCTCAGGAACTGAAAGAACTTGAGGTAGCTGATTGTGTACCCTAGCTTGTCAAAGAGAAGATTGATGAATTGTGATGGGAGGAACTATGGTAGCGGGTAAGATAAATGTCATGCACATGCTTCACAATATTTTTAGAAAGTAAGAAAGAAAAGTAATTGACCTGTGAGCTGGTGGCACAGGGCTTGAGCAGAGAAAGGGATTGCAAGAGGAGCAAACCATCATGGAGAAAATTTAAGTTAAACTGATTTGCCTCTTACATCTTAGTAGCAAGCAAAATCCAGGATAGTCGAACAGTTTATACTATGTACGCTCTTTGAGAGCAAGTTAGGAAAGGAAGGCCCACCTTTTCCATTTTCCTGTCAGTAGTATATCCCATCTTCCCTCCCCTCATTTTCCCTTCCCTCCACCATATGTATCCAACAGGTGTCTTTAGGTAACCATTAATGAGCTCTTCAGTAATCATGCCAATCTTTATAATTTGCCAGAAGAAGGCTGATTCTCTACTCATGTTCATGTGTATTTAGTATTGAAGAAGAACTGTATTTTGCTATAAGGTTTCCTAATGCAGCTGCAAAATCCATATGTTGCTGCTAGGTAAATGAAGCAGGGGCATCCAGGTGATTGCTGCCTTTTAGATGCGAGTCTGTTGATAGCCTGGACTAGTCAGTAGAGACTAATGCACACTGGAGATTTCACTGACTGTGCTGAAGGTGTATTACAGTAAAGCTACTATAGCTATATTTAATTTGGAGAATTAACAGTTCCAGAAAAAATAAGCTTCTCAGAACTTTTGATTTTGAATGTAGTGTTGCCTAGAGAACAACATTGAAAAGACAGGAATTACTGAAACTTGGAGAAAGATATGTTTATGAGATGAAGGAACAGGAAACAATTCATAGTTTTTGACAAAACAGAATTCGTATTTTAACTGCTTTGTCTTAATAGAATGGTCTTATTTTCAAATTGTAAAAGGCTGATCATGTTTTTAAAACAAAAATTGCCACATCAGCAACTGGCTCAAATGCTGCCTTTCAAATAAGTCTGCTGTATATAATCTTTGAAATAGATGGGGGTTTTAGTTTGTTTTTAAATCACTCCTTCACAGTTGAACTGTGCTGATTTTAAAAAGGCCTTTAAAGTGAATCTGCAGGAATTGCCTCATCTTTCTTGGGATGTTCTGTGCATATATTATAGTTGTAGAAAGGTCATTGTTTTCTCACTTTATGGTAGCATCTAAGTGAGAATATGACACGATTTTATTCTTTCAAATAGTTGATAATGCAAGCACGCAGCTTAAGTTATGCCTTATAGCTATGTAACATGGTGAGGAATGGAAAGAAGGGTTCATAGTGTGATGGGAGCAGTCACAGCAGCATTTTGCCAGGTCTCGGCTAGTCTGTAGATATGCTGGTGGCTGTAGCCAGCTGATGGGTGTATTCCAGCTGGTTTAGCTGATGCCTGGCCACTGCACTGGATGTTGCTGTAGGAAAGAATCTGACCCACCATTAGCTGACGCTGGGATAATTGCTGTGCCATTCTTTAGTAAATGCCATTCTGTAAATGGCATTCTCTTGTTGTAGAGAAGCAAGCTTTTTAGGGAGTCGTAATTTGTCTTTCCTACAATAACTGCTATATTTAGAAAAATGACAATAGTTTGGGTACATAATCCCTTTATCAGGTCTACGGAAAAACCTGTGTAATGCATTGGTTAGCATCAGCAACAGAAGTTCTCTCATCTTTGGTGTATCAGACCAGAGACATCTGCAGGAACTTGAGCTTTCCTCTGCACTCTGCAGCTCATCTGTTGATGTCATACTTATTGACACATTTCTGTTAGTAGAAACCTGTTTGTGGTAATTTCAGAACTGACAGTGTTATTTTAAATATATATTTCATGATCTAATTTAGGAGGTATTTCTGTTCTGTGGTGCGTCACTTGAGGTGAAAACCTACATGTGTATTTATGAGCTACTCACAGATGTAATAAGCTAGGAAGACTGAATGAGTCTCTGGCCATGGAAAGCAAAACATTAGGCTATATGATTTATCTTAAACTTTTTTTACATGTATTATGTAGATACTTTCTTAATATAAACATATGCTGAAGGCTTCTCTGTAAAAGCGGGGTTTTTTTCTGGGGTGAAAGAATTGTGCAGTGAGTAGGATCCTGGCATTTGTAAGGTAACCTCATAAAGGCTCTATATCTCACATAAAGCAAATGGGATTACAATATCCTTAAATCTCCTACATGAGAAGGAGTCTTAGATTCAAACTGTCTCTTATTAAGTCTGACATCAGTGCATCAATGGGTATTAGCGTTCCTAACTATATTTAAAATTGAAAGAAAAATGTATATATTATGGTAATGTCACTTAAAATCCGTTAGACTTAGCTTGATCTAGGAGAGCACTTCATCTGAATTTCAACATTTGTATATATAAACTAATCATCAGTTGCTTTTTTAATAGCCTATGCTTTTTTAAATTTTGTATGATGAGAGACTATCTCTGCTAGATAACTTACTGTATAGCAGAAGGCAAAGAAATAAGTTGCAAGAAGATACAGTATAACTGGTTTTAGGTAAAGCAAATCTTGAGCTTAAAAGTGCAGAGGAGTATGTTACCCAGTGTCAGCCCTCTCTGAGATATGACAGAATATGTTGAACTTTCAGCAATCATATAGTTGCATGAAAAATATGTCTTGAAACATCCTCATTTTCTTGTTTTCTATTTTAGTTGTTAATTAATTTAAAATGTTTAATCATAACTGAATTTACTCATAGGCCTTGACAATACTTGTTTAGTAAATCTCTTCTATCTCATGTGTAGGTCACTCTTTAATGAGCAGTAAATACTAAACTGGTGCAACGTGTTGCACTTCATCTTCTTACAATATACTTTCAGATTAAATTTCAGTTGCCATTTTATTCCTTATCATGCAGCTCTGTGGATTGCTGGTGTCTTCAGTAAGCTAGTAGTATTTTTAGCAAACCTTACCTTTGTTCTATCTATGCCTTTTCTAGATTTCTTGTAAGTCCAGACCTCTTTGAGTCTCCGTTGGGAAATTTTGTTTTGAAAAAATGCCAAATTACACTGTTTTTTGTTAGTAATTCTCAAGAGTTTTTTTTTTTTTTAATCCCTTAAAGACTTAATTACATTAATTCAGTGGGGGTAGGGAGTGTCTTGTCATAAGCTTTTCAGGAATCCAGGAGGTATGATAATCCACATACTTTTTAATATCTTTAAAGAGCTCTGAAAGATTTGTGAGATCTAACTTGGTTTTATAAAAAGTCTATTTATGCTGATGTTCTGCTGTATTCTGTCCAGCTGTCTGTTGCTTCTGGTTTCCACTCCTTATGTTGCACAAAATTTGTAGTTCTCTGCTTCATAACTCCTTGGATCCTTTCTGAAAACTGTCAGGCATCTGTTCCTTGGATACCAGTGCTACTTTAGATGAAAGATTATGCACTGCAGTTTTGTAGTTTCACACTCCAGAAGGTTTGGGTCTCTGTCATCTGACTGTGACTTCTTACTTTGTTTATCAGGACGGCCTTCTGTGCTGACAAGACAGTTTCTCCAGTTTGCCCTTGTCTTGGAGAGGGTGTAGTGTTGATGTCTTCTAGATCTTCCTTGGACACTGTTTAACTGTCTGTGTGTTCTCTGAATAGCTGGTTGTTTTAATGTATGTTTAAATGTTTGATCTTCTTATGATAATGAGGTCTTCCTCTTAGTTGAGAACATAATAACAGCCATGGTGAATCAGGCTAAAGGTGCATCTACCTAGTCTGGTACCCTTTTTTGACAGAGGACAGTAGTAGATATTCTTAGAAAATAAGAATGGGGAAAGAAAGTAGTGATGTGATATTTCCCTACCATACTTTTCCAGCATCCTTTCTTCCTAGGTTATTCAAAATACCTGTAAATACTACCTTGTAAAAAAATCAAACTTCACAGAATCCCACATGGAATCCCAGAATGGTTGAGGTTGTAAGGGACCTCTGTAGATCATCTTGTCCAAGCCCCCTGCTCAAGCAGGTCATCTAGAGCAGGCTGCCCAGGACCATGTCCAGACAGCTTTTGTTATCTCCACAAGTGGACAGTCCACAACCTCTCTTGGGCAACCTGCAAAGTAAATTAGTTTTATAATGAGACTTTATTACTTAAGTTAAAGAAGTTGTAGGCTACCTGTTTTTGAACACTGCATCATGATTTGATACGTTCTTACATGCTGCAATTAGTATTTTTTTAACTGGACAGTGTTCCTGGATCTTTTTCAGGGTTCAGCTGATCCTTTGAACAGTGCATTTCACCTGACATACAACATGGTATTGAACTTGCTTCGAGTAGAGGAGATTAACCCTGAATACATGTTAGAAAAATCCTTCTATCAGTTCCAACATTACAGAACTATTCCGGAAATAGTAGAAAGTAAGTATTACTGCATGTTGTACTCACAAGAGTCAGTGTACAAGATGCTGCACTGCGAGATTGGATAGTTACACTTCATTATGCTTAGAAGAGTTTATACCTGTGCAGTTCTTGTCTTCCCTGCCAACAGTTGCCACTATACCATTTGCTGTTATGTTACAGTTTAAGGAACAGTAATTTCCTCTTGTTCTTAGGACCTATATTGATATGCACTGTCGATCTATGAAGAGAGCTTTCCTCTCTGAGTCAGACAAGAATGGTTGTCACATTGCTGAACTGTAGGACAGGAAGAAGGAAAAACAATTTAAAATTCCTGCAGCTTGCTAGAGGTGCAGAGAAGAAAAGTCTTATTCCTTTTTGATATGCAGAACTTAGCTAAAAGAAACATAATTTTAATATCTCATTACAATCTCTAAAAAGAACTCAGGCACACTGCATTCAGAGTTGTATAAGAAAAAACGTTTAATTAAAATACAAAGCAAAATTCAGAGAGGATTGAGATATTATTTGCACTCCACTGAGTAATAAATTTTGAGCCGTAATCTTTAAATAGTGGTTTTTCATGAGCCAAAGTCAATTTCCAAAGATCTCAGCCAGTGTTTGAAAGTCAGGCCTCTTTGAAAACTTAACCCAGGAGAATCTTAAGAACACAAGAGGTAACTACTTCCTTTGCCAT